GTACTGTAGCAGCTACGACCTTGACCTTTCAGGACTGTAGCAGCTACGACCTTGACCTTTCAGAATACCTATAGCTACGACCTCTACAGAGCTGGGACTCCTACTTGACAGATCTACAGATCGAACACCTACCACTACACAGACCTACGACAGACAAACAACAACTAACAAAACACAGGTCACGGGTTAAAACACTCAGGGGTCAACTCGATACTGTACACAGGTAAAGTGAGAACTAGGGGTCGAGCCCTGGGATCTGCATTCGCTACTGCTAACAGGTGAAAACCGTTTCAAAAGTGTGCGTTTATGCCCAATGGATTATTGGAACCATGGTTAGTGTTGTTGTTTCTGAAGCAAGTTCAAGGTGGAAGATCAGTTAGAGGATGATTAAGCCCACCGGGATCACAAACGGGACGTACACCACAGAAAAGCGACGTCGCATTGGCCGTTCATCGTTGCCTCCATTGGCTTTAGCATGTAGGAAAAGTTGGCAGAGCAAAGTTGACGAGGACCAATTTTTGCTAAAGGATAGCAAATTACTAAATTAGTAAATTTACTATTTACTATTTAGTAAATTATAAGTTCATCTGCACACATACCTTTCTTGGCCTTTTGGCTAAGATCAAGGGTAGTATCTGTTCTGATCAGTTTAATATCTGAACCGTGGTCCATCGGACCACATAAAAAAGAAAAGAAAAAAAAGTTCATCTGCACACATATGACAGTTCTAAACTGCTTAACAAAGCGTGCAGTTGTTCCAGAAATCCCAAAAATTTTAAATTACGAATTGGAACGATAGAGGTAAGGTTAGCATGCCCCCCCTGAGCAGGGACGACAACCACAAATCAACAAACCGTTCCCCAAAAAAAAAAAAAAAAAGACAAAATAGAAACATGGCTACAGATTGAGCGGAACTATGAGGTGATATAGATGAGGGCTTGGCCCTACAGCAGTGTGACCAAGGCGTTGTGGCATAGCCGGCCTTGTGTAGGCCTCAAAGGCGAACACATGAAACCACCGCCGACCCCCGACCTAGGTTCCCAAACCGATTGCTTTCCCGATCCTCGACTTGCAGAGCCTCTACGGTCTGCGATACTTTACAATCACAGAGCTCATTGCGCGCTGCCAGCCATTTTAATCATAATCCGGTGGTGCTCAATAGCAGCCATACATTTCTTTTGTAGTCATGGCAGGCCATCTATCACCAGGCCGCTATTGGTCCGACCTGTGCCAACTGCCATAAACCCTGCCAGGATATCCCCAACGGTCATCGTGAGTCATGGTTGTGTCTAAACCACGACCACTACTCCCCACGGTGAACGTGGCCCACAGTCCCCTGCACAGAAATACATGGAGGCCTAGACCATGACTCTCACAGGCAAGCTGGCATACCCCCTGCGGTGGGGTCCTTGAAGGTAATCAGGAGCGAGTCATGGAGGTCTCGACCACAAACGGCACTACTTACTCCTAACGGTGGCCCTGGTGGGCAGTGCTCTGCACAGATGTACGCGGAGGCTGCAGGCACAAAATAAAAACTGGAAATCCGAAATTCCCCGCTTGGCAATTTTTAACTCCATCTCCTTGGAGAAAAGAAACCAAACAAAAAAACATGGATGTACGACCAGTGCCACGAAGGGGAAGAAATTCCGAAGAATACAAGAGAAATTGGGGGCAGGGGGGAAAGGTGGGCGGGGGTTACAGGGTAACAAACAAACGCCTCAATGTGTATATATTACAGAGTTGCTGCTACCTGTAACACAATAGGCCCAATCACTCAGGCTCGGAAGGCCCAGCTAGGTGGCATCATCCGGTACTACAAAATAGGTTCAAGACTCTTCAGAGTAGCGAGTCCCCCCCCCCCCCCCCCCCCCTTGCCATCACTGCTTTCAAATTTCAAACCCCTCACCTACACCGCATTCAACCCCTGACTTACACTGCACTCAACCCCCCCTTGCATATTCTTGAAGCACGATGACAACCGTCCAGCGGACCAGCAATACGTGTCACATACGAGTTGGTCAGAAGGGCGAGTGAAAGGAAGATTGATCTTAAACACCGAGTAGTACAAGCCCCTCTCCTCTGGAACTTGTGTTTTGCATGGAGAAACTAGATTGTCTTTTCGTTTTTTTTTTACTGTGTGCGGTGCCCGAAAAATGTGTGTTGCTGCTGCTGCAATCTGCTCTGTTCTGTCTAGTTAGTTGTACTTGTCGCAGTGGCCCCTACCTTTTTCTAGGCAATGCTATATGGTTAGAACTTCGAACTTAGATCCCGTTTCTTGTGAATGATCTGCGTTTTGTGGGCCATTTTCATACACTGTACACACACAAACAGAGTGATTGGAAGATGGCCAGAAACTCACATCCCAGAGCAGATGCTGCATTTGGCAGAAATGAGGCGAAGTATAAGTCAGTGTACGTTGCAATCTGCAACAAGCCCGATCCAACGGCAGCAGGGACTACAACTCGCAGGACCTGCACAGAAATAAATCACCACTCTCAGATTCTAGAATGCTACACTTGCCGTCCTCCAGGAGTCTGGGACATCCGTTAAAATCGGAATGATACAGAGAAGATTAGCATGGCCCCTACGCAAGGATGACACACATATATCGAGAAATGGTCCAGAAAAAGAAAAAGCTACACTTGCCTCGCTCTGTCCATTGACTCCATTCTCTCATCTATCTGAGGTTATCCAGCAACAGGCTCACATTTCCTCTAAAGCTCCTGCAGTTCCCAAAGGACAACATTTGCTCTTCTTTTTTTTTGTCTTTTTTTTGGGGGGGGGCTCTTCCTGCCTTCAGTGTACTGCAAGTTCACTCACACACCCAGTCAAATGTTTTTTTTTTTTTTACTGGAAAAAGTAGGCATCTACTTCTCAAGTTACCCAAGTAACTTCCAAGTCGGGCCATTAACGAGATGTGTATTGGAATTTTTGTTTTTTAATTGTAAATTTCACAATACAAATGTCAAGCCATTAACAGCTTAAAGGATATGGAGCAGAGCTTAAAGGATATGTCAAGCCATTAACAGCTTATCGGCGATGATTTCGCTGAATTTTCGCATGCATTTTCTGCATGCTCTCCCTCCCTCTCTCTCTCTCTCTCTCTCTCTCTCTCTCTCTCTCTCTCTCTCTCTCTCTCTCTCTCTCTCTCTCTCTCTGAGTGTGTGAGTCTGTGTGTGTCTGTCTGTCTGTGTGTGTGTGTGTGTGCATATGTTGTCATATTCGCTATACAGTGTACACTCAAAAAAGGCATGACTATGCCAGACTGTTTAGTCAGACTTTCACCGACTCATCAGGAGGTCGAACCCTGCCCAGGATGTGTGTGTGTGTGTGTGTGTGTGTGTGTGTGTGTGTGTGTGTGTGTGTGTGTGTGTGTGTGTGGGTGGGTGCATGTGTGCTGTTGCGGGCTCGCCGCTCTGCTGCCTGCTCTCCGCTGTCTTCCCGCTTTCCCGTCCCCTGTCTTCCCGGTTTCCCGTTCCCAATCGCCAGCGTTGCTACGTGCTTCACGAATGCAAACTGGTTCGAAAGGGGCACGACCAATGACGACCTAACCTACATGTTTGGAAAGCGCCAAGCCCCCCCAGCCGACGCGAAGAAACCAAAGGCCTACTGATTTGTCGGTTTGTGCGACCGATCATCCAAAGGCCCACTGAGAGCCCGAGGCCCAAGAGCTACGATGGGGGAAAGCCGGCGCAGACGTGCGCAGAAGCGAGAAATCGAGAAACTCATCGGAACTGGAGATCTAAGCCAACCGACGCACCAAAGATTCATGGACAAAGTGAGCCCGTCGGCGCGCAGCGTCCGAAAAAACGGTACCCGCGGCCGACGGGCTTTAGAGGGTTGGGAGGAAGTAGGATGGGATCCAATGGGCTCCCCAGATTATCCAGATACCAGCCAGCCATGTTTGGGATGACAGTGATTTCGCTTCCAGGGTCTCCTAACGTTTTCCGAAAAAAAGGGAAAAAAAAAACATTCCACAGTAGGTGAAAAGGGAAGGGAGATGAGGTGGATGCCATCATGCCCTCCGCCTGCAAATGCCATGGTCTGGCGATGGTACTGCTGCCATTCTTCTTCTTCTTCTTCTTTATAACTATATTTTTTTCTTAGAAAGTCCTTCTTCTTCTTCTTCTTCTTCTTCTTCTTCTTCGCTTCTTCCTCTTCTTCTTCTTATTCTGCTTCTGCTTCTGCTTCTGCTTCTGCTTCTGCTTCTGCTTCTGCTTCTGCATCTGCTTCTTCTTCTTCTTCTTCTTCTTCTTCTTCTTCTTCTCTGCATGTTTTTATTTTTTCATGTGTCTCATCCTTGTGTAAAGGCCGTGGTAATCTTCTCTGTATCATTCCATGGTTTTATTTTTTAACGGTAGAGGAAGTTCGCAAAATAATTACTACAAACTTCTGAAACGCAAAACTATTGCATCGGTTTTTTAAACCTTTTTTCCAATGTACAGCAGAAGCGTATACAGATCACGGGCTGAAGTGAGTGTGTTCATATACAGAACGTGGGCCACGTTACCTCTTTAACACCAGGATTGTCAAAAGGATTTTCAAATCTCAGTCTGAAGACCCCACCACCTGAGCGTGCCTGAGCAATCACCTTCAAAACGCGAGGAAAAAAAAGGAAGGAGCAGAAGTAATTTAGGTACAGGAAAAAAACAGACAGCAAAGCCATGGGTGGGGAGAGTGCAGTGCAGAGGTGTGAGCATATTAACATTGGATCACAACAAAACCAGGCACAGAAACAGCACCAGGAAGTTGCAGAAACAGAAAAAACAACAACAACAACAACAACAACAACAACAACAACAACAACAACAACAACAACCCTCCAATTGTCTCCCTTCTTTCCAACCTGGTTGGACTGTACAATCGCACCATCCGATTCCGCCAACTGCCAGTCTAGGTTGACCCAACAGTTGGGGGCAACAAGGGCAACCACCCACCGGCCCTGCTTCAAGGAAGTTGAAGGAACACAGAAGGCGCAGAGTTTGGAGAACATCACCCCACAAACCCCCCCTTCCCCCCCCTTTCTCACATCGGCAAGTGCAATCAGTGCCAATCACCTTATTTGATCCCACAAAGCACCAGGCTATGATTAAGAGCAACCAAGAGGAAATTTTACCGAGTTCAGAATTTTTACTGAATTAGGAAATTAGTATAGTTGCGGTGCACCTCGGTGCACGGACTTGCGCATGCACAGCGCACAGCGCACCGCGCATCGCACCAGACAAATTAAGGTCAAAAAAAAAAAAAAAAAAAGTGGGGGTTCCATAATTTCCTACGACACCCTCCCCGGGAAAAATGTCCAACTCACCGCGTGAGTTCTGAATGTCCGCGCGCCCCTTGGACCAAAAATTTTTTTGGGCAAGGGTTGCCGAATTCTGAATTCTGCAGGCTGCTACCCCGCAAATTTCAAAATTGCTGATGATGAAAATAGGGCTCATTGAGCCTCTAGGTTTTCCTTTTTGGGTGGGGTAAGATAACTGCGCTTCCCCTTTCCTTCTGCAAATCCCACGCAGAGGTGGACAAATTTGCAAGAAGAGTATAATTGCCCAGTACTGCCGTGGGCACACTGTCTAGCAGATGCCACACGTAATGTTTGCTGAGTCCAGCCGACCACCAATATATGCTGAAGTTTGGCGTTCAGGTCTGCATGTTGGCAGTTATGGGTTAGGAATAATACGCCCGTAGCTCTCTCGTTTTTTCTTTTTTTTTTCTTCTGAATACGTACAGTGGCGGTGAAGATGCCTGTAGCTCTCTCGTTTTTTCCTTTTTGTCTTCTTCTGAATACTTACAGTGGCCCAAGGGGCCTCTGGCCACTACTTCTGGCCACTACTCGCCACACCCACAAAAAGACATACCATATGACGGTGTATGGCTCCATGTTTTAGCAGAAGATTCATTCAGATGTTATTCATTCGGTGAGTACCACAGAGTGGTGGAGCTAGGCCCTGAGAATAACGTGGAGACACGAACAGGGTCTAGCTGAATTGGTGACCCATAACTCCCGAGCTACAGACCTGAACTCGCCCCCACAGAATATATTGGTGGTCTGCTCCCACTTCTCTCATTGTGACGCCGCCACCCTGATTGCTGAAGCGACCTTAACAAATTCCTCCACAGTGCCGAAGTGCTGAAGTGCCTTGTGAAGGGCATTGAGGGAGGAGTCATACGAGTTACGTGCAGGGGGCCCTAAATTGACGCACAATGCCGAAGTGCTAAAGTGCCTTGTGAAGGGCATTGAGGGATTCATACGAGTTACGTGCAGGGGGCCCTAAATTGACGAAAAAGGAACCCTTTGGTCTCTCTCTCTCTCTCTCTCTCTCTCTCTCTCTCTCTCTCTCTCTCTCTCTCTCTCTCTCTCTCTCTCTTTTTGTGGCACAAATAAATGTTTTATTTATTATTTTTACTATTTTTCTATACATATATACAGGGTTGCCGGCGTTCGGAACGGGCCGAACGCCTGAACCCAAACGCCCGAACGTTCGGCACCCCCTCTCGACACGTTCGGCCGTTCGGCCGTTCGGCCGAACGCGGACTCAAAGAAAAAAAAAAAAATCCAAATAATCTGAAAAAAATATACGTTATGCAGAAGAATAAGCTAAACAACATTTGCCTCAACGTTACATCCAAATTCGTTACCAAATTTGAAATAAAAATCAAATACTAAAAATATATAATAATAATGAAAATTAGAAAAAATAAAACGAGAATGAAATTATTGAGTGGGCGAGCACGTTTTTGGCACCGCCATCTTTGGCGATTTTTCTTTGTTTTTTGGCTGTGACAAATGCCATGAAAATTTTTATGTGTGTATCTTACATAATAGAGAATCTAGAAATAAAGTTTGAAAAAATAATATTTTTTTTCATGCCCCGAAATAAAGGAAAAACAAAAAGTGAAAAGCCAGATAAAAGAAATTAGTGAGCAAGCAAGTTTTGACACCACCATCTTTGCCGATTTTTCATTTTTGTTTGGCTGAACAGAATACCTTACATCACAAAGAACGCACAAAAAAAAATTCAGAAAAAAAAATGATATTTAGGTGCCCAAATGATTTTTGGCGGGGTCCGAACCCCTTCAGGTTCGGGCCCCGTACGGGGACCCGAACGCCCGAACGTTCGGGGGTCAGCTTAGCGGCCTCCGTACGTTCGGCCTGGCAACCCTGCATATATATATATAATATATATACATATATAATATATATAGTATATATTATATATATATATATATATTATAATAATTATATATATTTGTTTTTTTGTGCACCTGGCGCATCTTCCACAGCGCGCACACCTCGCACTGTGCACTGCGTACAGCGGACAGTGCGCGCGCTGGAGTTCCAGCACACAGCGCACTGCGCACCGCCCCGCCCCGCGCTGCGCACTGGTCCGCCGCAAGTATGGCAAATTACATTCACCATGGCAGACATTGGAAAGCGAAGTCACAAATACAGGAAGGTGAGACGAAAAGCTTCGAAAAACGAACGAGGTCGTTCGACTTCGTTAAAAGTTCAGACTCTTCAGAGTATCAGGCCAAAAGGAAGCAGTACACCATAGCAAGGTAGAAGAGACGAGAGTCCACCAAACTGGCCCCTTCCCTACTCACCTCCTTACTTCATCTTCCGTGCTCGCTCCATCTTGAACCACCAGTACACCTGGGCCTGCAGGCGCCTTTCTGCACGCCAAGCTTTTCCGAACCGCCGGCAGCACACTTTTTTTTTTTTTTGGCTGGCGCCAGCCGTTGAGGTCCATTGTATGGTAATTAAAACGCAAAAGCAGTTTTACGGAACTTTTACCTTTTAACTTTATTGGCCCCATATACTGTCACATATCACTTCCGAAAATAAACGGTTTCAAAAAAAAAAAAAAAAAAAAAAAAAAAAAAAAACAAACAAACAAACATGAAGATCACACAGAAACCACTCATTTTTTATCGTTCTTCTTTGAAGTTTTAACTCGCCCATATATCGTCAGACATACTCATAGTCATTAATTACCAGGGGCAAGAAAAGCATGCAGCATTCAACAAACTTGCTACCCTGTCCTTCAGCAAATCTGCAAAAATCTTCAATGGTACATAGATCCAACTACAAAAACAAACAAATAAATAAACAAATAAAATAAAATAAAATAAAATAAAAGATAAGTCATGATGTAGCGGTTCCACCGACTGAGACTCTGAATAGCTACCTGCACTAGCCATTGGAGAACCGTGCCAGCCATCGACCCAATGGCCAGTGTTATTCCACCTGCATCAAATCAAGCAAATACAATCAAGAGTCAAGACATTTCATGAATGTGACAATGTGTGGAAAATTCAAAATTTGGAAACTCAACGAGACATGACACGAGTATCGCTCCGGTCAATGGACTTTGCGTCCGTATGTCCAGTTGCCATCAAACCGACCGGCACAACTGTACGGTGAACACAAAAATTGGGCCTTTAAAAAGACGTAAAGAAAAAGACATAAATACATTAGTCCAAAAAAAAAAAAAAAAAAAAGCTTAAAAGGTGGTCCTTTTGGCCAATACTGATTAACATTGTGAGGATTGAGCCCTCAACGGGGCCTTGCCGACATCCATATGTTCTGGGCATAGGCCCCCAGCAAGCCTCGTGCCCGCCCTAAGTGAAGGCGGGCCAGAATATCCACGAGAGACCTTCATTCAGCATTTCACAAAGTGGGTATCAGACAGTTGCCGCACGCCAGCTGGTCGGAGTGCATCGTGAGCCTCAGACTCCTGCAAAGGCAGTTGATCCCAGGGCCTTGGTTGGTTGAGCGCTGGGCGACAGTCTGGGAGGCCAACACATCACACATTGGTCCCTGGCCTCAGAAAAGCAGTATTTCATCGTCGAGGCCGAGGAAACCAATGGGAAGCCGGTACAGGGCCTGAATCTGGACAACGGCCCTAGCATAAGGGGCGCAACTGTATTACCTGGGCCTCATCTGCATTGAGCCTGCGTACAGGTACTGGGGCCCAGGCGCAGGCTACCCACACACAACACTGGCATATAGGCAGAACAGGCGAGTGGGCAGGGATCTTGGCCATTGCGAGCAAAGCCGGCACGCTGCTGCATTGCGAGTGCAGGCGCTGCGCTGCGCTAGGCTGAGTGAAGGCAGACTGGCGCTAAGCGGTAGGGCGCAGCCTGGGCGAAGGGCGCTGGCAGCCATAGCCAGGCTGCAGGAGGGCGCTGGAGGAGGTGAGGGCGAAGGTGGTTCTTCGGGAAGTGAAGGGCGCTGTGTGGGATAACAAGGGAGAGTGAAGGTCAAGAGAGGGTGAGGGACAAGAGAGAGTGGCGTACCTGGTGGAAGAGGAGGTCGGCATTGGTGTTGAATGTGTTGCCCAATTGGGCTTGGACATTGACTCACGACTTTTGCTGCGTCGTTCTCAAATGGATGACTGCTTGGTTCCAATGTGTTATCTGCTCTTGCTTTGACTACCTGGACTTCAGTGTGATTTGCAATTGGTATCTCTGTGCTTCGTCCACATTCATGTTCCTTGCAAACATTGTCATGACAACAGAAAACTTCAAATGCTCATAAATAAGGAGGAGGGGAGGGAGGAGGGTGAAGAAGAGGAGGAGGAGGAGAAGAAGAATGCCAAGGAGGAAAGCAGGGGAGAGAGGGCAAAGGGGGGGGGGG